CATCTGACAACAGCAGACTACCAGAGAACATGCCAATATCCTTTATCCGAGATCTTTTTGAATAAAATAACCCAGATAAATGTTCGAGGGCTGCAACAGGAGAGATTTTCAGTTCTTTGAACAATTAAGATTCAAGACCCTCCAACTTTTTGTTCCAAATAGCAAGAGACTCGGGGGCTACACTCGGTGAGTGTACTTTTTTCTTCAAAAAAGCGCACGTCACTCAGAAGATTTTTACAAAGATTCAAGACCCTCCAACTTTTTGTTCCAAATAGCAAGAGGCTCGGGGGCTACACTCAGTGAGTGCACTTTTTCTTCAAAAAAGCACACATAACTCGGATGACTTCTTCAAGACAGCAATTTTCAAACAACATAAAGACCCTTCAGCTCCTTGTTCCAAATAGCAAGAGGCTCGAGGGCTACACTCAGTGAGTGCACTTTTTCTTCAAAAAAAGCGCACATCACTCGGAAGACTTCTTGAAGACAGAACCACTTCAAGGCCTCACGATAAAAAGAAGCCGGACGAACTAAATCCGAGTTCTTTTTGATAAAGAACCCGGGTACATGCTCGGGAACCTTTCAACGAAGGATCAGAGCGATTTCAAGACAAGACCCTCCAGCTCCTTGTACCAAATAGCAAGAGGCTCGGGGGCTAGACCCAAATGGGAGTACTTTTTTCTTCAAAAAGGTACACACCACGCGAAGATATCATGAAGCGCTACACGGTTTCGCTCAAGAAAGCACTCGGACGATGCTTGTTCCTGCTCGGCAAGACCTGAAGGAACAAGACGAGGCTTCCAGAGCCCAACCATGAAGTGCTCGGGGGCTTATTGGTGCGGGACCCACGGGATACCCCGCAAGGAAGAGAGAAGATCTAGTCTAACTAGATTCTCCCCGTGTAATCTTAGTAGTAGTATTATTCTGTAATCCTACTAGGAACTCTCACTGTAAACCGACTAGGACTCTGACCTCCTGACTATATAAAGGAGGGCAGGGTTCCTAGAGCAGGAGGACTTTACGACACAACACAACCAATCCAACGTAAAGGCTAACGCCAACTGGACGTAGGGCTATTACTCGATCAAGGATCGAGGGGCCAAACCAGGATAAATCGACCGTCTCTTGCGTTAACCGTCGAGTTCCGCATACGCTGAAGCCCGAACATACTGCCCCGGGGACCCCCGTGGCAGGCTATCGGTGGTAAAACATCGACAAAGGCGTGTAATCAAGAACAAGAAGGCAACAGGGACACACGAGTTAGACATGTTTAGACCATTAGTATGACGTAATACCCTACTCCTATGGTCTGTTGGTTTGTATTGGCCATCGTATGATGTTGCCTGTGATCAGATGCCTTAGGCTAGGCCTAGGATTTGTATGGGATATCGACTAGGGGACCCCTACCTCTCCTTATATACTCTGGAGGGGTAGGGTTAGAAGGAAAGTATCCTATTTGGTACTATATAATGTCTTGCGGTGCACGTCGACCAGTGCCGTACATGCCTTGATCTTGTGGGCCGGGACACCTCTGATGGTGCGGCACATGTCTTGTCTTGTGGATACCGGGGGCCATACCCCCACATAGAGTGACTAAAGAGGTAAAATACGAAGATAGATAGAAGTAACTGTCCTCCTCATGTCTGCAAGTAGTATGAAGGCAACAAATTTGAAAACTGAGACAAAAATATCAAACATTTATCTGAGTTTGGTTACTGCCATTTCCTATGATATATAACTATCCTACGAACACCATGGGGAGATGATTTATGTCATGACAAACAGAACGAACCCGTGACGGGTTCCCAACCCATAGCTCGTACGGAATTCAACAATTATTTTGTTAGCAGTTTCACATGCACTTCTAATCATGTTTATTCTAACCTCGAAGGAACGATGCCAGGTTCATTCTAATTATAGATAGCTGAGAAATGAAGCTGGCAACACATGCTATAGGCTTTCATTCTTCATACTAAATTGGTCACCTTTAATTTTTGAAACTGAGTAGGCACCGGTAGATTAGTTATTCCAGTCAAGAGTTACTCCTTCTTAGTAGTTTCCTCAACTTCCATCTCAGCGAGCAGTTTTGACGACAACAGGTAGTACTGCAATATTCATACTGAGCAGATAAGGATCATGTTGCAACGTTAATAGCAAATAACTGTATAAACCATTGAAAGCATGCCAAAATGGGTACACTAAATTGCAATGGACAACAAACGATTAGAGTGACCATTTCTATATTCTAATATATTTTTTTGTTGGGGCATTTCCATTGCATTTACCTATGTCAGAAAAACCTGTCGTGAAATTAAATGGAACAAAATTGAGTTAGGAAAAAAAGGAAAAACACGTCTAAAAGTAAAGTTGATAAAGCAAGGCACGATTAAGAACCAAGAGGAGCACCTGACATGGCATCATTTCGTTCCCCATCCACACGTCTGCTGGACCCAAGCCCGACTTCAACTTCATGTTCTGGACCCATGCCGTTGTCCATGAGCACACATAGTTCAGATACATCGATTCAACCAAGAAATTGGCAAAAAAAATTGTAGGAAATTTTTTTCCAAAGGAATCCCCAAAGCAGGGACAGGAGAACAGGTCAGCCGACTGCAGGCAGCAGGGCTAGAGGCACTACATGCGGCCGCTGCCTGTTGCTGTCGTTCGCCTGCTGCCTCCTCGCGCTGACCAGGCGCGCATAGCGCACCGGCAGACAGGGTCCAGCGGGCAAACGCAGGCGCACAGCTCAGGCAGCCACACGCTGTAGGCTAGCCACGGCAGCACAGATGCCTGCCGCAACCCGCACGCCGGCAACCACGCGTCCACGAGGGAGAAGAGAAGGGGGTGACGTACCGCCAAATCGAGATGACGAGCTGAGACAATGCTGCCGCCGTTGGCAGCGACGAAGGAGCAGCTAGGGTTTCGTCGAGCACGCGCGGACCGGCGGGAGGAGGCAGCGAGGGGGAGGAGGAGGAGGCAGACCGGGATGACACGCGCCGGCGACCAAGGGCGCAAGGGGGGGAGGAGGCGGAGGGCAGCCGCAGCCGCGTCCTGCTCGGGCCAGCCGCCATCGCTCTTACCCACGTCGGTACTCGGGATAGAGCGAAGAGAGGAGAGGGGGAGAGAGAAGAAGAATGGAGAAGTCGGACATGATTTCGGTAAAGTTCGAGGGCTTTTTTGAAAAAAAAACCTTAAAGGAGGCCTGGACTTCGGATTGATTCGACTAAAGTTCGAGGTTTTTTTTTACAAAAAGACCAGGGCTCACACGATCTGGGCCGTCCGCGCGCCCGATCCGATGGTCGGGAAAAGCGGGCGACGTGGCCACGCTGCTTGGCCCTCTTTTGGGTGCTGGATTCCTATAAGAAGATACTGCTGACTGCCCCAGACAGAGCTAGTGAACGAGTCTGGGACAAATCAATTGTTTCAAGAAGCGATTGAAGCTGGGGAACTGGATGATGCAGGGCTAACCTCCGTGGCATCTTGCTGCCAGTTTCGTTGCCACGGTCTGTTGCGGCTGGCGCCACTAGGTTGAGTGTAGTGATGGTGAAAAAGAAACCCATCTCTGTAGATTTGGAGGCAAGGAACTGCTGCAGAAAATGATTGACTTGGTACTGACTGGCATCGGCTTCATCTTGCTTGTGTTTGCAGTTCGATGCAACACAGGTTATGACATTCCTATCCACTAGCTGGGAGAAGAACGTCTCTGCTTCTGACTTAGCATCACTAAAACGCAAGGAAGTACCAAAATAACGATGAGTAAGGCCTTCATGTATCCATTTCAAGATGAGACGATCCTTTTCAAACTTGTACCCATAACGAAACTTGCTCATGTAAAATAATAAGAGTGAAATACACTGGCGGCCCTTTAACTTGTCGGCATGTGCCAGTCCGGTCCACGAACTTGCAAATGCGGAAAATGGGCCCCTGAACTTGTCAAGTTGTTCACCGCAGGTCCATTTCCCATCCGCCACGGCCTCCAAGCGATGTGGCAGCGCCAGCATGACGGACGAAGCACGTGAGCCGCACATTTCAATACCGAACGTGGCGGGGTGGCGCTGCGTCCACACTGTTTGGTGGACCGGGAGGCGCGAGACGCGGCGGCGCCCATGGCCGGCAACGGCGAGCTTGGCGGGGTGGCGTTATGGAGCGCTAGCGCCTGTGCGGGTTACACGGGGGTGGAGAGCGCGATGAGGCGAACTCGCCTAGGACATTCCCCGCGGCGGAGGACGTCCGGAGGCGGCGGTACGTGCGGCGAGGCGGCTCGGCCGCGGCGGTGCAGCTCCGGCGAGCCAGAGTGACGCGTAGAGAGGGAGAGGAAGAGCGTGGGAGCACTGGAGGGTGCCTTAGCACGCCCTGAAGCTCGTCGACAAGCTTGCATCTGTCGGAAAGCGGCAGAGGAGATTGACGGCGGTGGCGACGCTGCTAGCTCGGGATGAGGCGGCGGCGCCTGTAGAGCGAGAGAGGGAGCACGGGGAGAAGCGGAGTGAGTGCGGAGTGCTCACGCGACACTCTGGGCACCATTTTAGATGGAGAGAGAGACCGCGGGAGGAGAGGAAAGGCCGGTCAAGGAGCTCGGCCCCATGCCGACTATGGCGGATCTCTGACTCGGCGCTGCGGGACGAGCGGCTCGGGGTGAGGGGCTGCGGCGCGCGAAAGAAAGGTCCGCCGCGGAGTGCTCGGTCGTCACGAGGGGCGCGGGAGAAGGGCGCGCCAGGTGTGTGTCCAAGCGCTGCCGGCGACGGCGTTAAATCCCGTCGCGGGCGCGGGAGGTAGGGGGCGACCACGACGTGAGGGGCCTACATTGAAACGTCGCGGCTCACGTGCCCGTCCGCTTCTGCTGGCGCTGCCACGTCCACCGGAGGCCGCGCCGGATGGGAAATGGACCTCACGGTGAACAACTTGACAAGTTTAGGGGCCTATTTTCCGCGTTTGTAAGTTCGTTGACCGGACTGGCACAGGCCGACAAGTTAAAGGGCCGCCAGTGTAGTTCACTCAAATAATAATTAGCTCATGTCATCGTTAGGGACGTCATTATTAAAAGCAGATGACATTGCTTGTTCTAACCATGCTGGTAGCCGGGGGACTTGTTCCTCGTAATGCATTGCAAATCCTTGATGCTCGTCGTCCTCATCCTTTCGTTGGTGGAGCTTCTGCAGTCGTTGTTCCTTCAGCCAGTCTGCCATACCAATTATAAACAACGGTATACCATCACATTTCCTCAATATTTCATCACAAAGCAGCTTCATATTATTTGGCAGGCAACCATCTGCAGAACCAACGGCTTTTGCTAGAAGCAGCCTTTCCGAATCCACTTCACTTAGAGGTTTCATCTCATGCACAAGGCTATCATAAGAATCGGAGCAACATGCCCATGCTATACTTGTACAGCGTGTTGTAATCAATATTCGGCTATCAAGATCATTGTTAGGAAATGTGCCCTTGATTTCTTCCCAATCTGATGCTTCCCATATATTGTCGATAATGACAAAGTACCTGGCAAGGGGCGTTGTGAGAAAGAGATTATCAAATACTATATTTTCAGTTAAATTTATAATCATGCCATATATAGCTAATTAACTTTGTTGTTAGTTGTTACCTCTTATTTCGCAAGCATTCTGAAACAAGGCGGACTAGGACCTCCATTGTCTTGGCTTGTGACGGGTCAGATGAAAATGCTGTTGCTGCTGTTGCTTCTGAAACTTGCGAGAGATATCTTGAAGAAGAAGAATGTTCCTATCAGTCCCCCGTGACGCTGGAGCCATAACCAGGGTTTTTTTTACCTGTAGAAAAAAAATTCAGCACTTGCCGATAAATGCGATATTTCAGAAATTTCGGCAATTTCGGACCAAATTTAAATAAAGTCAAATTGATTTGAAAAAAATTTGGCATCATTTCACTAGAAAAACTCTCTAATATATCATCCATCACAAATTTACATAACATGGGCAAAATAACACAATGTATCACAGAAGTAGAGACGTGGTAATACAGCGGGCTGACGGTTGGCGAGCTGCATATGCTAGTGCCGTCGAATGTGTGAGTGAGAAAAATAAATAAATTTAAAGAAATTTAGGGTTTTGATAGGACTAGAGGATATAGAGGGTCATTTTAGCGTGGTTTGGTGTTATTTTGGAGCGAAGATAAATTTAACCGAAAAATTTTGACCGATATAAAGAATTTTCGGACCTCAACGTAAAAGGCGATATTTAAGAAATTTCGGCAATATTTCGCCGAAATTGTAAACCATGCCATAACGTTGCATTTGAAATAGTAGCGCCCTCCACTAGTTTCATACTGCCTGAGTCGATTGCATAGCTCCACAGCTAGAGTTGTGCCTATCCCCATACACTACAGGAACTGCTGGCTTCCCCGAGTGCCAGTTGCACTCAGGGAAGGCCCAGTTGCACTCGGGGAAGCCTTCTCCGAGTGCAACACTCGGGGAAGAGCCTCCGGCTAATCCTTCTACGGGAAAGGCGCCTTCCCCGAGTGTCGAAAATCGTGCACTCGGGGAAGGCTTCGCCGAGTGCCGTGCTGACACTCGGGGAAGACTTGACGCCGTTGGCCGACGGCCGACGCAGTTTTTTTTTTATTTTCTTCCCCGAGTGCAACACTTGGGAAAGATTTTTTTTAAAAAAAACTCTTTGCCGAGTGCCGTAGCTCAGGCACTCGGCAAAGAAATTTGTTTTTTTTTAAAAAAAATCCCTCTTTCCCGAGTGCCACAGCACAGGCACTCGGGGAAGTTTTTTTTTAAATACTCTTTGCCGAGTGCCGCAGCTCAGGCACTCGGCAAAGAAATTTGTTTTTTTTTAAAAAATCCCTCTTTCCCGAGTGCCACAGCACAGGCACTCGGGGGAGCCACCTCTAAAATTCTTTTTTTTTTTTTTTGCTTTTCCATGTAAACAACAGAGCATATATATATATCACAAACCACAAATCAACACCAATATGTCACAAACCACATTTATATATCACAAACGACCAAATTTATCCGAAATCCACAATATATTACAAACATGATCTCAATGGGGTCCTAAAACATGATTCACCAGTAAGATAGCTACCATGTGTTTTATGTATCACATGAAAGAAATCATGGTAAGCAACAGAATCTAGAAGTCCAGCATACCACCACACTTCTGGTAAAGCCAATGTCGTGCACCTGAAACATTTAGCAAACTGTAAGAACCAGACATATAACACACCATGTTGAAACCATGAGAATTCATGGGATCAGAATTTAGAAGAGCACTCATATTATCCCAAATTTGAAGCCATGAGAATTCAACGAAAGATATGGTTAGCCTCTTGTGCATGCGGTGGGCCAAGTCCTAGACTACTAGCTAAGGATATGGTTAGCTAGGAGTAGATGCTTAGCGCGACGCGGGAAATGCCAGAGAGCCGGCCATGGCAAGACCACGTCGTATTACATGCTGACCCAATCGATGATATCTGGGGAACTGAGAATCGGCGATAAGCTAGGTGCACGTACGTTCCACGCCACAAAGCAGCCAGAAATGTGCTCCCCGGTCACGCACATTGGCTGAGATCCCAATTAATTAAGTTGTATGCAAAGAGGGGAACCTTACATACATACAAGCCACGGCTGCTGAGACGATCCCAACCAGGCTGTATGCAAACAAGGATACAGACAGACAGACAATTAGATAGATGCACATGACGCGGCATCTCGTCCAGTGCCGTATTTGTTTTTCTATATTACTGTCTTCACAGTTGAAAACAATTCAGGGAGGTTGCCCGTTGCCATCGTTCACCGTTGTTGTCTCCGCGCTTTGCCTGTGCTCCCCCGTCGAGTCTCGTCGACCCCAGCCGGCGGCGTCGAGCTTTTTCAGTTTGGAAGTAATGCAGTGATGCAGCGTCAAAGTGATGCAGCGTCAAAGTCGTCGTCTACAAAATCCTCGCACGATTGGAAAAATCAGTGTGAACCGCGACGCATGCAGGGGCGCAGCAGTTGCGTACTTGTGTGTTCTCAAGGTTCGAGCTAGATCGAAATAGGTACTTGTGTGTTCTCACGATCGGATTAGTAATTAATCCGATGACGGTGACTTCCAGCGGAAAGGGACGGGGAGGGCTTCCAGCGGCCGGCGCTTGGGCGCTATATATTTGGACACAAATGTGCCCTCGATCCCACACATAGCCCCAGCCAGCAAGCTACTATACAGTACAACGTACTAGTCACCTGCAGGAGCGAATGGTGACGCTCATGAGCCATCAGTCTGCTAGGCGGGAGCGGCAGGGCGACACCGACGCCGACGGGGCGCTATATATTACTTGATTCAGTCTAAATTTAGTGAAAGAAATCATATTACTTGATTCAGTGATCACTACAGGAACTACTATGGAATACTACAATATTTGAGGATGGAATTTAATTAGCACCAGGGGAAAAGTGTTCTGATTACCTCCTTCCCTAGCTGTGCAATATGATCTGCCTTCCTTCACGTCTCCGAAGGCGGCTCACGGCGACTGTGAGGGGTGGGACGCCCCAGCGTGCGATCCCGGCGACGGTCCAGGTGGGGATGGCCCGACGTTCGATGCTGGCGACCCTTCGACATGGTTCGATGCTGCCCCCGATTGATGCTGCAAAAAAGAGAGGAGATTGCACGTGAGTGACAAGATAAAAATGTAAGGTGTAAAGAAAAGTTGAAAATTTCGGCAGCACCTCCCCTGCACGGGGAGGTTTCCAAAACCTGTAAGAAAAACGTCGGCACGAAGGCTGACAACCACATTTCCAGCACGAAGGCCAACACATCAACAAATCCGGCACGAATGCCGACACATCAACAAATCCGGCACGAAGGCCATCACTAGGTTTGACACTAAGCATGAGCAAAGAAAGTAAAACATGCGTACTCATACTCACCGGAGTAGACTCTCGACGATATGGTGGTGGTGGTGCAAGCAGCTCTGCTGGGATCTCCCAACCTTGTTGCTGCCCAAGTTGTTGCACGAACTTGAGCAAACCATCTTGCTGGGCCTCCAAAGCTTGTACCCTCTGACGCTCGGACTCCCGCTCGGCCCGCTCAGCCTCCCGCTCAGCCAGCAAACTCTTTTGCTGATCCCGAAGTTGCTGCAGCTCGGCCTGCAATATTTGACCCCAATGTTTCAATAATGCAGAGCTAAGGAACGTAAAAGTGAAAGAACGACGAATGAAACTGGAATACTTACCTAGATTGAAGCCACCGCTGTCGGCCGTTGGCTTATGGGCACGCTAGAGCTCGTGCTCGCTGCTCGTAGACGGTTGAGAGGAGGAGTACAGCCCGTCTCGAGGATGCCGTCGCCCATGTAGAACCGCCCATGCTTCTTGCCTTGCCCAATCCTCATCACTAGCTCAGGATCAAGGCACTCCTCGGTCCTCGGATCGTAGTCCGACCCGTGGACTAACCTTGACGCCTCCGTGTACAAACTGAGGCGGGTGTGGACGCTGGAGTTGGTGTACGCCTCTGGGCCCACATCCGGGTTGTACTCGATGTTGGACTTTGCCGGGCCCATGTGGGCCAGAGCATACGCCATGAGTTGGCCAATTGGCTGGCCACCGTGCGCCGCCTCCTGCGAGAAAGACAACATGTGGTTAGGAATCATGCAAAATTGAGCGCGGCTAGATTAGACAAGTGGTGGAGACTTACATATGTCCTTTTGTATTTGCTGAGGCTGGCGCTGCCCTGATGGTGAGGTACACCAGGCATCAGCATACGGTGCTCGCTTTTCTCTTGGTGCGCCTTCTACCAGTCCACGTCCAACCATTTGTCCACTATAGCAGCCCAGCAATCGGGAAAGGTGGCGCACCAGCTCGGAATCACCTACAAGCCATCAGAAGATCAAATTAGGCATAGTTAATCTAAAAAGAGATCAATAGGAGATGTTTTCTATTTACCTGTAGGTACTGCTCCCTTGTCAGAATCTCTATCTCTCTTCTTGCCTGAGTTCTGTTCATTCTTCTATTACGATAGGTGGCGTTGTAGTCAATGTGCGCCTGGAGGCGGGACTCGTGATACAAGTCCGAGACACGCCTTCTACAGGAAGCGGCAGCCACCTCACGCGCCCTTAACTCTTGTCCCGGCTGGCATCTGAAGAAGTCCTGCATAAAGACACGAGGTATCCATTATTTATTTCAAGAATGTCCAATGAATGCAATGAATTGAGGGTCGTAGAGTGAGAAAGGCTTACCCACAACTCCGTAAGCACTTGATCCGCCAAGTTTAGGTGCCCATCGGCGGGGAAGAGGGCGTAGTGGTCGAACGAGGGTATCTCTGGGTCCTCACCCTCCGACGTCCACACCAGGGCAGGGAAGTGTTCCCTGCACAGAAGTCCCAGGATCCCATTGACATTGCAAGCCGGGACCCCCTCCTCCACAAGCATCCAGTTCCTGCACAAGTGGTTAACATAGTTATTATTAGCTCTTATTATGATTTTTCAACATATCAAATGAAGAACATATGAAGTTACTTACCTATCCCCCTCGGGTGCAATCAGTGGGCGGCGGTCAACAAGAATCGGTCGCTTCGGGAGCTGGCTGGGACCTCGCTTATAGGGTTTTGAGGCTGCAGAGGAAGTCGAACCCCCTGCCCCTTCCTCGGACGTGTGCGGAACCCCCTCCTCGGACGCGTGCGGAACGGAGTCGTCGT